TAAAATTAGAGGAAGATACTGCTAGTGTATATTCATTTGAGTCTCACAGAACAGTATCCAGTGGATATCATACAGCATTAGATAGCAGTAGCATGAGAACTTATTCTTCTACACTAACTTTAGGTTCAGTAAAAGAGGACTCTGAAGATGAGACGTTTAAGTAATAGATGCTTAGTATATTAATTATACCTCATGTACTCTTGTTATATGTGTGTAGTATATAGCACTTTTAATATTTTTGCTGCTCAAAATTCCAAACTGTCAATTTGCTAGCATGGCATCTGTATAACTAGTGTCACTGATTGTCCATGCAGTGATAATGAGTATAAGTGGAGAAGTATATGTACAATTGTACATCCAGTGAATTGTGTACTAGCATTAGTGCATTATAATGGCTAGAAGGTACTGTACATAAACTACGTATTCCTTATCAAAATATCAAACGTTATACTTTTGAAGACAAGTTGTTGGCCTCCCCACACTTTAAGTAGGAAAGTACTAGGTACAATCTCTTCATGCTTGCCTGTTGTTAAACTATATAGTACTATGTTTATACTATAGAACTGGGCTAAACCGTGCTGAACCAGGCTGAGCTGGCCCTGCTGTACTAAACCATGCTGGCCTGGTTTGGTCCAGCTCACTTCAACTCAGTTTGGTTACTGTTTACACTATCAAATGATGATAGAGGATTGATGTACATACACTTTAGTATTTTTAGATTTAATTTTTGCAAAGCACACAAAACATAATTCCCTCAAAATAAGACCCACAGTATAAAGAAAAGGGTACATGTACATGTATACTTACTCAGCCAGTGAGTCCCTGTATCTCCAGTTCTTCTCGTTCTCAGTGTCCAGGATCCCATTTAATATAGAGGGAAAGTTCTCCTTCTAACATCAGAGGGTAACATCTACATGTACATGTATATGTATGATAAAAAATAATGAAAAAATCAATACACGGTATTACATTTACAGAGATATACATGTACATGCACGTACATGTTATTGGTTTATTATTATTTAATTGGCAAATTACATGTGCATGCATGTGATGCAATACATTCTGTACATGTATATGTACTCTCATCTCTCATTTACATGTATAGTACATGTACATTTTACAGCTACAAATGCAGTGTATGTACATGTACATGTACCTCAAAGAACTCCAATAAATGAGCCAGTACTCCAGTCTTCACATCATCAAGGTCCTTTGTAGCATACAAAAACAATAATTAATAATATTGATGATGTTTCTTTACTTTTCTAACTCCCCAGACTTCATCTTTACACAACTGAATGAAATATGGCAACTAGAGAGAGAGGGAGAGAGAGAGTAAAAGGAATGAACACAGAATGATGAATGTACATGTATATGAATATGAATAAAGACAAGTAGTTATTGCATGTACACATGTACATGTACAATATAAAATGTTGGCATGATTTTTGCTTGAGGATTTCTCCAATTGGCAGATGTACAGTAGATTGTATGGAGAAAAAAAACAAAACTTATTCTATTTATACATGGACTGTACTACTCATGTATAAACCAAATATACTTGTACATATAAACTCTATAAAATATACTCACAATAACTTCCTCAGTAGATGCTGGCCCTATTACTGAACACAAGTCTTTATAAGTTTACAGCAAAGGACTAAAATATACAAAGATAGTATCCAAGAGTATACTGAGATGCACAAACGCTACCTTTCTCACGTGAAACATGGCGTCAGATGCTAAAGCTGGTAACTGAGGAACAAACTCAGACACACAACCTCTTGACCGAGAAATGACGCCACTCAACCAATTAACTGTAGAATAAAAACACACCCACTTGGTGACCACACCTATTAATTATATATCGTACATGTGCATATACATATAGAAGAATGTAAAACATTAACTAGTTCCAACCTCCCACCACGTCCAGACATACATGTACATGATACAGACCAAAAGGACTTTAATATACTATAATTGGGGCCACTCCGGTTTTGCATGAGGTACATGTACCGTACGTGTACACACAAAAACATATGTACATGTACTTCTATACAATACATGTACATGTATAATAAGGAACTAACTTATATTGGCCTGGTGCCACTGAGCATGATCAGAGTAAACTAAAATGGCAGATACTATAATTTCATATTGGCAGTAACTTGAAACACTGCCAATACTTCCAGCAGTGCAGTAAAAGGAAGACAGGCTTTTAAATGCAGCACAAATGTCTGGATGAAGTTTTGAAGGTCAATAAATTAACATTATTGACTGCTATGAATGATGAATACGGTATCTATTCAATTATTTGCGTGGGTGAATACCGTAAATCCATACTCATATTGCAATTGGATGGATCCAACACAAAAATCAAAATGACAGAATCTCTAACTGGAAAGAAATGGATGATAAAAATGGAGGATGAAATAGAAGTTCCCTGGCCAAATGAAAATAATGATGACCCTCCTCATAGACCACCTCAGAAGGAAGATTTAAGTGGACCAGTTGAAGGTCCTATAAGTGGACTAGTTAAAGTAGGAATAGTTACAGGTCCTATAGTCGTAGGTGCATGTACTATTGCTGGAGGAGTTATTAGAGGACCACTAGGAGCAGCTAAAGGAGCCGCTCTAGGAGGAATTATTGGGGCTCATATTGAAGGACTCATTCTAGCTCTGATTGCTAATTTAAATTATGAAGAATAATGAACTCTAGTTGTCAACATCAGGCCCGTAGCCAGGGGGGGTTCGGGGGGTTCGGACGAACCCCCCTGTTGTAGCTGCAAAAAAGTTTTAGATTAGCTCCTGTCATGAAGAACAGCACTGCAAAAGCAGGATTAGCACTTTGGCAACAGCGAGAAGCACAGATAGCCATTTTAGCTGAGTCAGCACATGGCTGAGATGCGTAAATTAAAACCACGCCTACCAACCACGCCCATTTTCGCAAAAAATTTTCGCTGCGCGCTTCGCGCGCAGCAATTTCCGAACTCCCTTTTTCAAGTTCCTGGCTACGGCCCTGAACATGTACTCTAGTGTCTAGTGAGTGTAGTGTCTATTATTACTGGTGATGTATATATATATAATTGTTTATTTTTTAATAATGTTTAGACAAACTAAGTGTCAAACTTGAATTTGCAAGCATGAAAGCTGAACTATAATGTACATGTATAATTGTACAAGAGGCCCAATTTCATAAGATCGATATTATTTACAGCTGCTCATTTTGGGTTGCATGAAGCCATGTGAGTGATGATAGGAGGAGCAACTAGCAAGAACTGACCAATCATACTCTGCCAGAGGAAGTATCAAGCAAGAGAGTATAAAGAAACTGGCAAGTGGTTCACTGCAGAATGCCAGTAGTGTATCAATTTCCTCTTTATCAATTCACTAATCTGTCTGTACCTCTCTCTTTTTCTCTCTGTCTCACTCTCTTGTAGTCTATAAAGTGTACATTACATATTATTGTTGCTAATTT